AAATAAGGTCCTTAAGTCATCAAAATTTTTGAATAAAATCCTAATTGGATGGAAATTGTTAGGTTTGTTAAATTAGTTATTGACACAATTAACTCTAATAGGTTAAATATCCAAAATGATCAATAACTTTTTTATTTTATCTTTCAATAACACAAAAAGTCTAAAACTTTAAATAATCTTATAATATATATATATATATATATATGGAGTTAGTGCTTGTCCGCCTTACCTTCAAAAAATTAGGAGGAAAAAGAACGAAAACCACCTTAATGCATGCTTTAAAAATAGGGTAGTTTAGTCTTTCTTAATAAAATTTTATTGAAATGACGTAGTTTTAGGATGATTTTCCTCCTAATTTTTAGGAGGTAAGGTTGACAGGCACTTTTTCCTATATATATATATATGTATTACAATTGCAACTTCATTTAAGATTTTTTTATGAATTTGAGACCTTATTTAAGTTTAATAAAACTTTAAAATCTCATTTACAAATTTAATGAAAGTTTAGGACCTTCTCGCCTAGTTAGTGCATTGCCTAAGCATGCCTGATGGCAAATTTTGCAACATTGTGGTAGACTTGGCAATCGAGCGGGTTGGGTCAACTCGAGTGATAGATTATATAGGTTGGGGCATCAACGGGTCACAGATTGAGAAAGATTAACCTTAACCTGAATTTAATGGGTTACGAATTAACCCACAAATTGACATTTTTGTAAGTCAAGAAATAAGGAAAAAAGTTAAAAATCAAAAACTAAAAAGGAGATGAGGCAATATTGTAAGTCAAGTAAAAAAATCACAAAATGAAATCAAAACCAATAAGGAAGTGGAGTAGAATAAACAGAAAATTGATAAAATCTAATAAAATAAAATCTATTTTTAGATAAAAATAGAATAGGATTTCAAATGAAATTAAGTTAAATAAAATCAAATATTAAAATTGAAAATTGAATACAAAAACATCCAAAAAAAAAAAATTATAGATCTGAAACACCCATACCTTGAACAGGAAAGAATTTGGCTTGAGAGAATAAGGGAGGTGGATGAATGTTCAGAGGGAGAGAAAGCGTTAAAACAAGTGACTGGTGAAGTGATTGAGATAAGTGAGGGATATGAAGGATTGAAAGGGGAAGATGCAAAGTCTGCCGTGGAGGGTGAGTAGACATTGGGATTAGGGATTTTTGAGCACTGAACCAAATAAAGAATGAAGATGAAAGAGTTCTGCAGTGAGTTGGTGAGGTGGAGTGGAGGCGTGAAATTGGCCATCATAATTAACAATAAATAGGATTAATTGGTTAATAAAGAAATAATTTTTGTTAATAATAATAAATAGGGTCATTATTATTATTATTGATAATAAATAAGGTTAGTAAACTTAAGAATATTTTTTTTCCAAAAAAAAACTACATTGATCAACTTGTCAACTAGCATGTTGACCTACCTTGTGACTCGTGATCTATTCAAATCAAATTTATGAGTTACTAATGGTTCACGAGTTGAAATATGTACATCCTAACTTGTTTTTATGAGTTGGGTTTAGGTCGAATTCACGGATCAAGTTGATTTTTGCCAAGTCTAATTGTGGAAAATTAGTGGCACAAATTTTTTTATAAATCACTTGTAATAAGTCACTTTAAAAATTATATTCGAAATTTTTGACAAATTGAAAAATTTATGAGAAAGCAATTGCCTTCTAAACGATCTTACTTGAAAGCTTTGCGAAACCGAAACCTGTCCTTAACCTTGCAACTCAAAGCTAGAGTTGCATGAGCAAATCCCCTCCGCTCCTCCCTCCCCAAGAATGAAATAGAAAAAAATAATCTCAAGTGATTTGTGTAGGATGAAAGTTTCCAACTTTTTTTTTTTTTTTTAATTCCCGATTTACACTTTATATTTTTTTTTACTATTAACAGCTTTAATAATATTTTTAATAATTTTTTTGACAATAAGCACCCTCTACTTTTCAAAATCTGCTAGAAACCCAAACTTTTACAGTAAAAGCACGTGACCATTATCCCCCCATTATCTGTTAGCTGATATGGTATAATTTTAATTATGTGGCAATTGGTGTGTTGATATGGCTTTTTTTTAATAAGGTAGTAATAGAAAAATTATTTTTTATAATTTTTATATATTATTAAATAAATATATATTTAATATTATAAATTTTAAATAAATAAAAAATTAATTATTTAATTAACATATAAAATTATATAAAAAAATATTTTAATAAATTACTCCTCAATCATTTTCTTTCTTAAACATGATTGGTGGATTCCAATTAAAACTAAACAAAAACTTTTCTTTTCCCTAATAGCCCTTTATTCAACTTTAAATTTACAAAATATACCGTTATCCCCTTCTTCCTTAATTTCCATTATGGTAAGAAATCCCCATTTTTTGATTGTTAATTTTGCAAACCCATAAACAAATTTATACCAAATTAAAATTTTAGAACCTAAATCATGTATCAAAAATTAACCATTTCTTATATATCCTTAATCCATAAAAGGATCAGGGATGAATAAAGTAGAGTACTTGGAAGTACAACATTGAATCAGATACTCACTTTTTGAATGGACAGATAACATTCTTAGGAAAGAAACACTTATTGAATCAGACTAAATTTACTTTTGAAGTTGTGTAAAAAAATTCATAAAAAATTTATAAAAGAAACTTTTTAAATCTTTTGGTGGCAGTGGTCTTATTTCTTTGAATCCCACTGGTAAGGCAATCTTGCGGCAAGAATTCTGTAAAACAAATTAAAAACAAGCATACATACAATCAGGTCGAGTTCAAAATAAATAAATATATAAATAAAAGATTCAAAGATGTCAAGAGCAATTTTACAGGTGTAGAATTTTGCAGCATGGACCAAGCCCCAGATAGACAACACCAGAGAACTCGAAAGGGCTCCATAGATCTCGATCGGACCACGGATTACACCGATTTAGTACCTGGTTTGATCTCAGGTGGGTAGAGGCAACAAAGTGACGGTCGGCGATTTTTTTTCCCCAATAAAAAAAAATCAGGATATCCTTTTTCTTAATAATGTCATAATATTTAATTATAAATATTAAATGTATGTATGTGATATAATATGAATTTTAATTTTAAGAGAGAAATCCAAATGGCAAGGTAATTCAGCAGAAAGAAGAAGCCTGATGACAACCTAGCAACTGCTTTTTGTTAAATTTAGATTCAAACATTTTCTTGAAAATCTTTTCACGCGAGTTAACGAGGTCGGATGTTCGAATTGCAGATAATAATGGCAAAACCAGCTGGTGGTCGGAAGAGAGAGCAACCTGCTGGAATGGATGAGGACTAGCCTCTGCACTGAAATCGTTCAATTATCTTTATGTTGTATCTCATTGTGCTGATTTCTGATCTTGTTTAGGCATCTCTTGTTTTCTTTTGGATGCCGAAAAAAACTTTGGCTTGGAAAATTTTGTTTCTTATTTCAAAAAGAAAAATGGTTTTGTACTTTCTTCTACCGTTACTTAAATCTCTTCTTGGTTTAACTTAAGAAGAATTGAGGAGGAAAAGAATGGAAGAATGTAGTTATTCTGAGTATACTTAAAGGGTGAATTTTTTTTGGTTTGGATAAAAATGTTAAGTAGGGAACAAATGTGAGATTTTCTTTTCAACCCAAACTGCAGAGAGGAAAAAGGTGCAAATATGAAGACAAAATACAAATCCAAACAAAACAAGTTGGCTAGTCTATTGCTGCAGTCTTCTTTCTTCCTTCTTTACTTCTTCCAAATGGCTTCTCTTTCCCTCTCCCTTCTAAAACCAAGTGTGGTCAAGGCTTCTGCATCTCCAACTACTACCCTTTCTGTTCCAGTGACTCTTGATGAACAATTTGGTATCGAATTCATGGAAACCAATAACATCCTACTTGTTGGATGTTGGGCTGATAGCCAGAAATGGAAGCTTACTCAGGTTGGGCATGCCTGATGCTTATGT